ATTAATTTCAATAATATTTCTGATTTGTATTCTTCAGGAACCTTCTTGTGCTTAAATGCTCTTTCGATAGAATCGAAAAAATATATTCCATTCTTCTGCTCTCTTCGGTACTGGTATAGTCAGTGTTTCTACTCCTTTGATCAGCTTGTCCAGGGAAATTTCGGTTTCTCGTTCTGTGTTTTGGAATTAAAGGTGTTGGACTTCTACTTCCTTCATTTTGAGTTGCTCGAATCTTCGCTAGTTCTATTTCGTGTTCTCTTTCTGTTCTTATTCTTTCTTCTTCCATTTGCATTCTTTCCATTTCTTCTTTTCTTTTTCTATTCTCCACTGTAGTAATCAGAATTTCTTTCACGAAATCAGCATCTTCGATGTATTCCTTGCTATTCTGGAGTTTGTGTTTCAGTTCTACCAGCTTCAAATCTGGGGATGCTTCTTCGCCAATTTCCAATAGAACTGTTACTAAATCCTCTTTCTTTGCGTTTTTGAACATTTTCTTCTATTTTCCTTTAGAATCAAGCCTTTCAAACTCTCGATTAAATAATTCTCACGTTTTTACTCTCTTTTGCAAATGAACACTTCTTTCGTTAGTTAGGCTTAACTTTACGCCTCTTCCGTTTTCAACGCTCTAAGCTTCTAACCTCTCTGGTTTTCTCGTAAGAGAGCGTGTTGTGATGACTTCGTGGTTTAACAAGGCACCATTTAGCAAGACGAAACAAACATTTATTAAATATATAATTCAAATAATAATATAATAGTTACTCAGAGCAGTACGTCGCTCCTACCGCATAGTACAATCTACTACCTTCCTCTTCCGAGGCTAACCTGCAACTCCTAATAAATACATTAACCCTTTTCGGAGAAAGGCTACCTGCGCCAAGTATGCTCTGTTGATCGCCAAACAGTCGCCAGATATCACACCGTCGCAGCGCTGTGGTAGGCGTCCCGCGCATGCGCACTAGTCTTTCTTGTTCACTGACTTTCAATTGTCGTCATTTTGGTTGCTCTATGTTGTGTTTTCAGTTTGCTTGGCACATTCAAAATGTTTAAGACAATTAGTTCTCCCGCTGACTGTGAGATTCGTGCCGTGATTAAATTTTTGAACGCGAGGAATGTTAAACCGGCCGAAATTTATCGTCAAGTGACAGAAGTTTACGGTGAATACGTGATAAGTGATGGAATGGTGAGAAAGTGGGTAAGAATGTTTAATGCAGGTCGAACAAATGTCCCCGCCGAGGCTCGGAGTGGTCGGCCTTCTGTTGTCACCGATGATTTGGTAAGGAAAGTTGATGAAGCAATCCATGAGAACAGACGCTTCACAATGACAACTCTTTCAGAGGCATTTCCACAAATTTCACGTACTGTTTTGTTCGAAATTGTGTCTGACCGCTTGAATTATCGCAAACTGTGTTCCCGATGGGTTCCAAAAATGCTCACTGATGTTCACAAAACAAAGCGACTTGGTAATGCTCTGACATTTCTCACGCTTTACAGTGATGAGGGAGAAAACGTTTTAAACCAAATTGTGACAGGTGATGAAACTTGGGTGTGTCATTTCACACCAGAATCGAAACAACAATCGATGGAGTGGAGACACACACATTCTCCGAAAAAACAAAAGTTCAAAGTGACAATGTCATCACAAAAAATCATGTGCACTGTCTTCTGGCATAGGAAAGGCGTTTTGCTTACTGAATTTCTTCCCAGAGGTGAAACCATTAATGCGGCACGATATTGTGAGACATTAACAAAACTAAGGCGTGCCATTCAAAACAAACAAAGAGGCATGCTCAGCAAAGAAATTGTGTTGCTCCGTGACTATGCTAGGCCCCATACTGCTGGTGTAACTCAATCGTTAATTCGACAGTTTCATTGGGAGCAGGGACAGGGACAGGGAAAAGTGGACGGAGCACCAGAACTTCGTCAGTGACTTTTACAGGTGTTGCTCCGCTGCACTACTGTACCCCGCTGGGCTTTTAGTTGGCCCGCATCGGATGCTAGCCTACCAAGACATTTACATACTAATTTTACATTAATATTAGACTTACGTATTGAATATACAATTACAAAGACATAGTATACAATTATTGCAAAGAAATTAACCTATCAACAAAAGTTGGATTATGGCAGATTGAAATAACATAATTACTTCGAACATACATACAAACTTTCATTGTACATTGTACTTCATACAAACAATATATTTACATTAGTATATCTAGTTACATCGAATTAAAATAAACATCATTTTAAGGAGCTAATTGAAGATTTTTTTTTTTTTTTTTTTTTTTTTTTGTGCATTTTATCATACTTAGTTGAATTACTAAGGCGAATTCTCTTATTAATACATTTCCTTTCATTTTTTTAACTTGTTACACAAATGCATCAGCACTGAAGTCTTACATTATTATTTTTGTAAATTAATGTATCATAAATACAGAAAATATACATTAGAAAATCACATAATACTTACATTTACACTAATATATCTAATAGAGTCGTATATTATTTACATTATTTTTTAATTAATGATTTAATTATTACACTAATACAGTCCAAATTCTTAATGTAACTATTTTATTTAAAAACTATTTATACCATATTTAGCCTGTTTCAGACACTTGCAATATTTCTGAAATCTTGCATTATTTTTGCAAGTTGTAGAATAAGAGGTATTTATACAGATGCGATAGCATCTTGACATATGTCTTCTCTTTTATATGCAAAAAGTTTCTTCATAATCAAGGAAACCTTTTGTTGTAAATGAGGTATCGTTAGCATGCATTTAATGTACTCAGGCGTAATTTGTGACCTTCCTTTGCAGTGTAGCTCTTTTGTGAGCTGGCACTTGAAAATATAGTGCTCTGGGTCTCCCTTTTCCCACATACGCACTTGTCTGAATTCGCTCAAATTTCGTGCAAAGTAGTACGTGGGGAAAGGACCATGTCCAGATAAGAATATGTTGATGAAGAAGTTATAAGAGATTGGATCATATGTGGGTTTCTTGTAGAAGTTGAAAAGCCTTCTACCTACTTCTGCATTTTCCCATTCAGTTTGCCATTTTTTTAATGTAATTTTTTTTCAACATATGTTTCACATACGATTTAGGGAATGGGACATTGATTGGAGGTAGAGATGGGTCTTGAGCTGCATTTTTAGCAAGCGCATCTGCCCTTTCATTTTGGGCTTGTCCAGCATGCGCTTTTACCCACTTTATTTTTATAGATGTTCTCTTGCGCTGTGATAATAAATCGTAGATATCTTGCACTATTGATGATTTGTTTGTTGCATCATTGACAGCTTTAATTGCCGCTTGGCTATCACTGTATGTAGATGGTAACATATGTTAGATGCTTTTGATGAGACCATAGAATAGCGTGTTTTATGGCTGAAAGCTCAGCTTGGAAAACGCTGTTGTTGTTCCTTAGGTGTCCTTTCCATTCTGTTGTTTCTTGTTCTGAGAGGAGTGCAAAGAACGCGCATCCTACTTCTTCGTTTAACTTTGACCCATCTGTGTACACGACTGGAAATGAAGGTACACTGAGGGTGTCTTCTTTTGTAGATATTCTGAGTTTTGCATGTACTGCAGGGTGTCTTAGGTAAGGATTTCGTGGCTGTTCAAAATCAAGGGGGCACAGGTTTTGATCTTCTACCTCTATGTTTTTCTTGAGGTGGAATAACGTGGCTAAAGTCTGCATCTTCTTTTGCTTTCAGGTGGAGGGGTGGGATTCCTGTTAATACACAGAGAGCTGCCGTTGAGGTAGTTCTGTATGCTTTTGCTATTTGTAAGAGGAAGGGGCGTTGGATCGAAGCTAAGAGTCTTTTCTTTTTCACTGTCATAGGGTGAGTCCATGCTGATGCCCCGTAGAGGATTATTTTTTCGATCACGGTATTATAGAGAATGTTTTGCATCCTCGACTTGAGGCCCCACGTTGTGCCTTGCATCCTTGCGAGGGCTCTAGAAATAGTTTGGGTCTTCTTCCGAATTTCCATGAGGTGTGGGATCCAAGAAAACTTTTGGTCAATTTTCAATCCGAGGAATTTGATTTCTTTTGAGATCTTGATTCTTCTATTATTGGATTTTAATGCAAGGTAGCCTTTGTAGCGATTTGCCCGGTTTTGGAAATAAAATAATATGTGATTTGGGCTCTGAAATTATTAGTTTTTGATTGACGCAGAGGGAATGGAATATGGAGAGAGTCTCGTTACTATTCTTTTCTAGTATGTCTCTTGAATGCCCATTTGTTACAAAGGCCACATCGTCGGCAAAGGCGATGAGCTTTGTATGGTCCGGCCACTTGTAGGAGGTGATATAATTGAAGGTGATGTTCCACAGGTCTGCACTTAGACAAGAGCCCTATGGACAGCCCCTCGTTATTCTTCTTTCTACTATACAGTTGTTGCTGATGATTATCGTTGCTCTGTTTGTTAGGAAACTATTCATTAGCTTGAATATGTTCCGAGGGCATTTAATGTTGCGCAAGGCTTCAAGGATACCAGGCCACCACACGGAATCAAACGCATTTTTGAGATCCATGCAGTTTCATTGGGAGCAGTTCGATCACCCGCCGTACAGCCCGGACTTGGCGCCGTCCGACTATCACTTGTTCCTGCACATGAAGCGCGAGCTTGGTGGCAAGCGCTTTGGATCTGACGATGACACGAAAAATGCTGTGGAGTCGTGGTTATCGAAACTGGCGGGAAGTTTCTTTGACGATAGTATACAAAAACTGGTCACCCTCTATGACAAGTGTTTATCATTGGCGGAAACTATGTTGAAAAATAGTTTAAGACATGTATTTTCATGTAAAAATAAAATTGGATTCGAAAAAATTGTTTTACTACTTTTTTTTTTTTTTTTAACGGTGCTTAGTTTTCGAATAAGCCTCGTAAAATACTGAAAAAGAAAGGTGTTTTGTTTTAAATGTTTAATGGTCATATATAAGTTCAAAATGTCGAGTTTTTGTAAGATGAGCATATGTAAATGTCAGCATTGTTCTATAATGCGTTCCAAAATTAGAAATTATGAAAATGATAAAACGTCTCAGAATGAAAATGAATCAGAAGTAGTTAAAACTTTATCTATTTCATATAACTATTCCGTTTCGTATTTACAAACTCTGATTGCGCATATTGTTGTTGATAATAAACCATATCCAGTGAGAGTATTATGTGATTCAGACTCTCAGAAAAGTTATATTAAGAATTCGATTGCAAAAGAATTTAACTTGATACCACAGCGCAAGGTAACTTTATCGTAAGCATTGTTCGGTGGTAAGAAGATTCCGTTCTCGACATATGATATGTACAAAACTAAGCTATCAAGGCTTGATTCTAAAATTGTTTTTGAATTTGATGTTATTGGATCTGATCAGATTTGTACCAACGTACCAAAATTTAAAAATGAGAATGTTTATCAAATCCTTAAAAGTAAAGGAATTGAGATAAGTGACTATTTAAAAGATAATCATTATTCGGAAGATATCCAGGTATTATTATTAGGCGCAGAAGCTTGGGCGAAAATTGTAACACCTGAGGTGGTTTCTGGTGAAAATTGCAACACCTGAGGTGTATCTTTTGAAAAGAATTTAGTGGCTGTTCAGAACCACTTTAGGTTGGACACTCTTAGGTAGTAGTTACGACCCAACGTCTTTTTTTTTTCTTGTTTGCTTATTTTAATGAAATGCTCTATTGAAACATCGAAATTTTGGAAGTTAGAAACACTAGGCATTTCAGAACCTGTTGAAAGAATTACACAAGAGGAAAAAGATAAAGAAGACGTGAAATTTTTTGAGAATACTACCAAATTAAATGAAGCTGCAGGTCGTTATGTAGTACGTCTTCAATTGATTAATGGCTGCTCTTCCTTACAATCTAATCTTAAGGCTGCTGAAAAATGACTCCAGAATACATCGAAGAAATTGAAGAAACTAAACAAGTTTCAAGAATATGACGATGTAATTAAAGTCTGGTGGAAAATGGGAATAATTGAAATTGTACCGGAAACAAATGGAAATGATGGAAATGATATTTACCACATAGAGCTGTTTTTAAAGAATGTAGTAAAGAACTAGGCCAGTATTTGATGCATCAAACAAAGATGAAAATGGATCTTCTCTGAACGATTGTCTGGAAATTGGACCAAATTTAATAGATTTAATTCCGATAGTTTTAACTAATCTTAGAATTTATTCAATCGCTTTATCTTCTAATATAGAAAAGGCATTTATACAAATTGAAATTGATCCAGCAGATAGAAATTTCCTACGCTTCTTATGGTGGGAAAAAGGAAATATTGTTGAATTTAGGCCATGCAGAGTAGTTTTTGGTGTTTGCTGTTCTCCATTTCTTCTTTCAGCATGCCTAAATAATTTGTTAGAAAATCCACCTAAACATTTAAGCAAGATCGCAAAAAAGTTAAAAGGCACATTCTATATGGATAATTGTCTTACTGGTGTTTTTAAAGAAGAAGAAATAGAATCACACATTAATGAAGCCACAGAACTGATATCAACAACTGGGTTCAGCCTTAGAGGTTGAAAAAGTAGTTTAGATTTTAATGAGAGTCTAGAAAATGTGCTTGGTCTTCAGTGGTACCGCCCATCACATGAATTGGGATGCCGAGTAGTATCTTGGTCTGAAGCTCCCACAAGACGAATCCTCCTTTCATGCATTCAGAAAGTTTTGATCCTATAGGAGTTTCTTCACCAGCACTTCTTATTCCAAAGATTATTCTGCAGAAGACTTGGAAATTAAAGTCTGACTGGAACGAGGAACTACCAGAAGTCATTCAGAAAGAATTCAGTAAATGGTCTACAGAAATACATTTTTTGAATGACTACCGAATCCCAAGAAGAATTTTCAATAATTCAATAAGCTCTTTACACGTTTTCTGCGGTGCAAATAAACTAGCTTATGGTGCCTGTATATTTTTAAGAACCGAAGAGCATGAAGAAGTTTACTTTTGTCCTAAGAAAATCCCGATTTACACCATTGAAAGAGATCACTTTACCGCAGTTGTAATTAATGGCCCCACTTCTGGGTGTAAGATTATATCAATTGGCTATTAAAAGCTTGAATTATATAAACACGAAGACTTATTTTTGATCGGATTCTTCAGTGGTTATAGCATGGCTAAAGAAGCGAAATAATTGGTCTGTTTCTGGAGAAAACCGAGTTAAAGAGATTCAAGATTACAGCAAAGAAAGTATGTTGGAAACATATACCAGAGATCTTAAACCCTGCTGATTAATTGGCAAGAGGATGCTATCCATTGCAACTCCTAAAATCCCAATGGTGGACATGACCTGAATTTCTGAAGAAATCTCCAGAAACTTAGCCTTCAAATTATCCTGATTTAGATATGAAATAAATTGATAAAGAACGTCATTTCGGCGAAGAATTCAACGGCTGAAACTATTCTAGCCAAACTTGCCTCCAGATTTTCGAAATATTCTATGATTGTACGAACTGTTCCTTGGATGTTAAGATTTCGACCCGCGAGAAAGCCGAAAAAACTTTATTTTTTCTTATACAAAAGCACGCTTTTGAAGAAGAACGAAAAAAGTCTGATTTGAAAAATCTTCAGATTTTCGTTGATGAAATGGAATTTTAAGAATGAAATCTTGAGTTTTAGATTCTTCAGCTTTGCTGGAATATACATTCCCTATATTGCTACCTTCCAAAAATGTAATTATAGAAAGAATTATCGAGCAATTACACTTAGAACATAAACATGCTGGAACACAAACACTTCTAATGATTTTGAGATAATTAGTGTGGATTATCAGAGTAGAAAAACTGTACATTCTGTGGTACAGTTTTTCTACCTCTGATGTGTCACATGCTAGAGATATGCTGTAAAGGCCTTAGAAGTACCTATTCCTCCTTTACCTGAAAACAGGACAAAAATGCTCAAAACATTTGAAGTGACAGGAATCGATCTCGCCGGCCCAGTTTTCTTGAAAAGGAATTTAAAGGCTTGGATAGTAATTTTCACGTGTGCAGATTTTAGAGCTGTTCAGCTTGAATTAAACACTTCTTTGAGCACAAACGTTTTTATAGATGCAATTAGGCGTTTTATTTCACGAAGAGGTCGAGTTGGAGTCACGTATTCAGACAATGATTCGAATTTCGTAGGTTTAAATAAAGCTATGAATCAATTGGTTTGGGCTGATATCGAAAGGAAGTATGTTTTATTGAAAATAAAATGGAAATTCAATCCTCCCACAGCGTCATGGTGGGGAGGATTTTGGGAGAGGTTAATAAGAATTTTAAAGGATCTAAATTTGAGACACGCTTGTTTAAGATATGAAGAATTTCTAATCCTTTTGTGCAAATGTGAAAGCCTAATGAACAACAGACCTTTGACGTACCTGTCGGAGGAAGGTGATGATTTGTCACCGTTAAAACCTTCTATGTTCCTACAAAACGTAATTGACAGTAATGTGTATGATTTAGATGAAATTAATTCTATGAGTATTATAGAAAGATGGAAAACTTTACAACGAGTTAGAGAAGGACTTAGAAATCGTTTTAAGAAGGCATATCTAGGCTTTCTCCGAAATATTGCAAAGGGAAAAAGAAGAATAATTAAAGTGAATGACATTGCTCTCATCGGAAATGATAACAAGAAACACATAGACTGGACGTTGGGTCGAGTACTTGAATTGTTCCCAGGGAAAGATAATATCACGCGTCTTGTGAAGCTAAAACCATGCTCTGGAGTTGTACTTAGGCCATTTCAACGCTTCTTCCCTTTCGAACTAAATAAAAGTTCAGATAAACTCCCTTTCATGGGAAATAATGTAGTAATTTATAAAATAAAACAAAACGACTAAAAATTTCAATATACGCCTATCAAAGAACATCGAATAAATAATACAAGATGTTTTAGAAAACATCGTCTTGGCAGAGAAGTACATCCTCCGCAAAAGCTAGACTTATGAATTTATTGAGACTTTTGAAATACATGAACTTTATTGATTTTAAATTTTAGTTTAGAACTTTAAGTTATATTGATGTTGCAAAATTCCCATTTTACAAGGTGGGGAAATGTTGGAAATGAATACAGTTATATCGTTTTATATTTACCTTTTTGGAATGGCAATATGAATTATATTGTTTACTTAGAATATTCTATCTGGCAGTTGAGTTTAAAAATGGTAATAAAGATGTGTCTATTCTAACTACGTTTTCGTATGCATTGCGTAAATATAAACAGCGTAGTATTTTAAACCCGGCGAAGTGGATTTATATTTTATCACGGGCATTTCGCCACAACCTACGTTTATCTCTGTGCGTAAGTGCATATTAGTCTTTCTCTGTATGTAAATATATATATATATATTTACATACAGAGATATATATGTAATGAAGTAGAATTAGATGTTGCAATGTTGATTGCATAGATATTGATCCATAATGATTAGCAATCACCGCAGCTAAGGCAGACGAAATACTCATTTCATTTAAATTGCCATTTTGCTGCCACAAATAAACTGGCGCACTGATCATGTTTCTCCGAGGAGATTAAAATTTTTGATATTGTTGGGATAGTACAAAAGAAGCGAGACAACGTCTTAACGAGAACAGTTGTGAGCAGTTATTTATTATGGCTGCCAATTAAGGGAAAGATTTCGTTCCACAAAATTTTGAGTTAATCTCCGAATTAGCTACGCCACCATATTAATGCGAAAATCATATGACAGGATTAATCTAGAAATGAAGTAGTACAGAAAATTATATTTTTATTTTTAGACTAGAGAGGAGTAGTACACAAATTAAAATGAGCAGTAAAGGAGCTGTTGCAAAAGTAAGTTGTAATTTTGATTTACATATTTTTACTTTGTAGAGTTGCGCGCCTGCAACCTGCACGCAACCAAGAGGTGACTGTTGAAACTGGAATTTAGACAGAGTCTTGCTAAGGGTTTAAGTCCCTTTTTATTCAACTTAAGAAATTACAATTGCGTGCTCTTGACGCTCACAAACTACGCCGACCCGGCGGTAAAATAAAAATAAGAACCTGAAAAGAAATAATAACAAGACTCTAACTACGAGGCTCTCTAAACGTAACTAACCTCACCGCGTTTTACAATACCGCTGCTAATTCAGCAAACTTTGAATATCACGTTGAACGATTAACAATTCTCCGAGGCAAGCACACAGGCCGAAACGCGGGGTTCTTCAATTTCTGGCTAACTACCTCCGCGCTCGTGAAGTAAGAACAGCACATCTTGAACTCGTTTCCTTTCTATTTAACTCAGAAACTTCGGCTGATAATTTGAATCCTTGCGCGTTCTACTAAAATTTACATACTCTGGCATTGGCAGTTCCAGGGGAAAGTAAGGCTTGACAGGAAAGATAGTTTAAACTTAAAATAAATGTTAATAAGTTAAAATAAGTTAAAATTAAGTTAAAATAAATATAAACCCTACATTTGCCGCTGCCAGAATTTGGAAAACTTGGAAGCAGGTCCTACAAACGACCTGTTGAAAAGTTTCTACAATTCTGAACTAACTCTTAAGAGCCTCGTTTACACACAAAAAAAAATCTTATGTAACAAAAGGTATACTAAACTTCTGTCGATACTTATATAAATCTCTCTTTTTACAGCAACTTTTCCTGGACTTCAATCAATCTTGGTCTTTTCCTTAGAGCATCTGGAAGGAATAAGTATCAAAATCTTTCTAAATACATTATAATTTACACTTTTTTGACACTGAATAAATTTTTGTTTTTAAAAGATTCGTTTTCCTTAGTTACTGCTTAATTCACATTCATTCAATTATTCAAAAATTAATTTAACTTTATCCTGGCTCTCCACCATGTGTGGTGTCAAACGGGAATATTCGTGTTTTAGTCTTACAACACTTCCCCTAACCACCATGATTTGTTAGAATTCACGACCAAATACACACACCTTACTCGGCATTCTATAACTCGATGAGCTACTTTAACATTTTAATATTCAAGTGTAGGTGGAGAACCCTACAAAACACATTCATTCTAACTTCCCCCTCATTCATCTTTAGACATGCAGGCTTTCGCTCTAAAGCATGATTTTATCTAAATTTTAATATTTAAATTCGAATTCATTGCTTTTAAGCATTTACTTTTAGCATCTAAAATTTTATGCTTCTAGACTAAATTCTACTTTTACATAACATTCAAGTATTTACGTATATTTACAAGTATTTACACTTTACTCATTCTTCGCCAAGCTGGCGGCACTGAAACTAAAATTCTTATTAATACAAGAATACGAAGTTATTTTTATCTTCGGCTAAATTTTGGCTTTAACATAACAGAATTAGTCTTTCGACCAACAGAAAATGCTTGTTCCTAGATTTTGTACTTAAAGAAAATAATACTTTTGCCTTAGCTAAATAAAGTAAAACAAAACTAAGTCTCAACCGAGACATATTGACTTTCGTCAAAACATAGAACTTCGTACTTACGCATAACATTTCGGAACAAAAGAAAAAAATTTTATAGAAGATTTTAACTTATCTTTGAGTTTTCGATGATTGAAACTCCGTCATTCTTTTCTGGAAAAACTGTTCCCACGTTACAGGTTTCATGGACGTCAATCTTCTCCTTACTGACCTCCGAGTGTCGTCCACATTAGTTTTTTTTTGCGTCCTCTGCATGCTGGCCTCTTGGCGTAGCAATGGTCGGGTTGCTGTCTTTTTCGTTTTTCCCTTGGACGGCTGGTCTTGACGTCCTCCGGTCTGGAGTCCTTGAATTTCTTCTGTTGTTGCTGGTCTTTTCGTTCCTCCTGCTGTCTTTTTATTTTCCGGAACGGCGGCCTTGTTTGCACCTGACTCTCTGGCCCTGGGAGCGTTCTCCTTGATGTATAATTTCTACTGCGATATGTTGTAGGTGGTGTTTTCCTCTTTACTAAGGTTTCTTTACGCGGTGGCTTTGCATTCTTGTTTTTCTTAAATGCTGGAGTCTGAAAATTTTCGTTTTTTTCTTTTCGGTACCGTCGCCTGGGTTGTAGAAGGGCTAGGTCTCTCTTCAGTTCTCTGCTTCTTGGGTGGTGGAACGGTTGTCGTTATTTCTGAACCTTCTACTTCTTTTAGGCTTGAGTCCTGCAAGAAACTTTTAAGGATTTCAAAATAATTTTGATTATAGTATTTTTTCACCTGGTCGGGACTTGCTTTACAGATTTCCCCTCTCTCGTTCTTAAGGTACAATACGACACCTTTGATTTCCTGAATTACATAGGGGCCTTCAAATTTTGGAGCTAACTGTGCAGTAAAATAGTCTGGGGCACTTGATAAAGAAAATTTCCGCTTCAATACTTTATCCCCAACTTTAAAATCTGCTTCACGGCGTTTTCTATCGTAATATATTTTTTGCTTATTTCTTGCCGTATCCGAGCTTTTAAGCGCCTGATCAATAAGTTTTTGCACATCTTTCTGTTTAAACTCTTGCTCTCTTTGTTGCACAAAGAATAATTTATCTAAAGGCGTAATTAACTTTCGGCCTAAAAATAATTCTGCTGGGGTTTTTCCCGTAGTATCGTGATTTGCCGTTCTTAAAGCATAAGCTAATTCATTTATGTAGCCATCCCAGCGCTTGTGATGTGTGCTAACGTAACTGCGAATTATTTTTACAATGTTTTTATTCACTCTTTCTGCTATGTTTGCCTGTGGTCTATACGGAACCATTTTGATATGGCGTAGTATGCCAAGTCCAGTGCATATGTTTTCAAATATTTGACTAATGAATTGTTTTCCGTTATCGCTAATGACTTTTATCGGTGCACCGTATTTTAAAATGTATCTGTGTAAGAATGCATCTGCGACTGTTTTGGTTGACGCGCGTTTAAGTGGAACAATTTCTGTCCATTTTGAAAAATGATCTACAATTACTAAAAGAAAACGATTTTTATTTAACTCGCTCTGGGGAAAAGGGACCAAGAAGATCTATGCCTAAAATTTCATTCGGAAATGTAGCGCGAATGCTATTTAAGTACCCGGCCGGGCTGTAATTAATATCATTTATTAACTGACATTGATTGCAGGACCTGACATACGCAGTTACTATTTTGTATAATTGCGGGAAATATACCGCCTCGCGTACCCTTTTTAAAGTCTTTCTGACCCCTAAATGACCCGCTGTTTTCGCGTCGTGTAATTCCTTCAAAATGCTTAATCGAAGCGAGGCTGGGATGACTGGTTTGTACTCAAGATTTTCGTTTGTTGTTTTCGTATAAAATAATAATTATCTATTATTTCATAGTTTTCTGCTCTATTTTTTATCGCATCGATATCTGTGTGCTCAAAGCTTTCGGGGTCTTTCAAATATGCATAGATATTTCCAAATTCAGGATCAGCTTTCAGTTCAGTGATAATCGTATCTCTAGAATCTAAAATTTTTGAAGTCAACACAGCGCATTTAAGTTCATTTCCTTCATCGTTCAGTTTTATACGAGAAAGTGCGTCAGCTACATTGTTTTCCTTACCCGGTTTATATTTATTATTAGATTATATTTTGGAGTTTTTAAAGCCCATCTTATTAACCTGGGCGTTAGGTTTTTCCCCGAGTAAAGTCTACCAACAGCCGCATGATCCAAAAAAAGACTGTTACTGGCGCTTTGCCGAAATAAACTCGAAATTTGTGTACAGCCATTAATACGGCTAATGTTTCTCTCTCTGTAGCTGTATAATTCCTTTGTGTCTGATTCAACGTTTTACTAAAAAATGCCAGAGGATGGCTATTTTGCATAAGAACCGCACCCACCGCATAGTCCGACGCATCTGCTGCAATTTCTATGTTTTCGTCCCCCTCCGGGAATTTC